AGGACATGGTATAAAGAAGAGGGAAGTGTCAATTATAGATAATTATTGAGTACCACTCTGAACCTTGGGAGAAGAGAGATGCAATTTTGGCATGGAAGGTAAAATTATACAGACACTAGGGTAGGTTTCACACACCTGGTTGGAAATTATAGAGAAAGAATAGAACAAATTATAGTGAACTTACTTCCTTTCCCTAACAGGCTCAGCAAAGTGGAAAATAACTTTTTTTTAAGAAATTTGATTTTAGAAAGTAATGACATGAATATATCGAGGCATTTTATTTTATTTTGTGGGTTACTCTGAATAAATTGAGCAGTTGATGTAGTGGTGGAAATAATGCCTGAAGGCGTTTACTGTCAGTTACATCTAGAACAGATCCATTGTGTCAGATACTGAGACAGAAAAGGAATGAATGCTTTTGGCTAATTACAATTAGAGACATTGCGCTTGCAGTTTACCTTTACTATCGTAGCATTTTTCAAAAAGAAAAAACATTGTTTAGACTTTAAACAATTACAGGAGAGAAAAACAGTACTATCCATCAGGGAATGTATCACACTTCGACTATGGACATGTATTTGGATATTGGTAACACTTTCTATAATGACTGCCTTTGGAAACCACAACTGAATAAGCAGACTAAATAATGGAGAACAGCTGTTCAGCTTGTGCAACACCAGGACTAGTAACATTTAGATAATATCAAAAAATATCTTAAAAAGGCACTGTCTTATAAAACTAAAAGAGATATTATGAATAATTTATAAATAATCCTTATTATGTATTTTCACTTTACATGTGAGGAAATAAAAAAAAAAAAGCAAAAACACCTAATGACTGACCTGTCATCTCACAGAACTAAAAGTCAGAATTCCTGATTTTTAAAATCCACCTTAATTACACATGAGACTTGTCTCGATTTGCAATGAGTGATAGGAACTTGGTATGGAGTGATGAGGAGCTAGACTGTCAGGGATAACTATGTATCTTATCTAACACCAATGCAGACTTCATTAGCCGGCACAAGTCACCTGTGGCAGGAGTTTATAATTTTTATTAATGGAAATTTGCTAATGCAAAGAAACCTATGTTGATAAGCATTTTATTAACTATGGTTTTTGCTTAATAGACTTGCCTTTTACAAAATACCTTTTTTTTTTCTATATTTCTTTTCCAATTTCTATTCATTTCCAGTGAGTCAGGGGTCTGTGGTGGTGGACTGTGGGTGCTTTGGTGGCAAATGTACCATGGTAACACCTAAAAGGGGATCCTCCACTTCCATAATGGAAGCAATGATTTAAACAATATTAACTCAGTAAAAATATTTTTAAATTATAATAATTAAATATTTTTGCCAAAATTGCCTAATCTCAATTTACACAGTTAAGTGTCATCTATATCAATAATAAATTAAATAATAAATAAGAATAAAAATAATAAATATGTGGTAAATAATTTTACTATCACTAATAAAAATGAAATATCTTGTCAATCGATAGTCACTTTGAGAAAATCACTTTGTATAGGTCAGTTCCATATAGAATCTCATATAATTATGAATATTTTAGGAAATATTTAGTGTTGTTTTGTCATTTAATACAAATAACTTGCAAAATTGATGTATATGTGTAGACAATAACTTCTGTTATTTAAACAACTGGAAGAATTACTTGTTATGTCACCTCTGCTCTCTTTGGTCCTGTGCGTGGCTAAGATAAAATAGTAAAATAGTGCCTGAAAAATTCTTTCATTTTGATAATATTTCTTAGATATTATCTCATGAGTCAATGTTTTAGAAATCTCTTCATAAGGAAATAAAAAATGTTCATGAGAAAATAGAGGCCTGCACTTAAAATCAGATCTTTGTTAAATTTTAGACTAGGCCACTTAACATCTTGGCAAGTTACTTAAAATACCCAAGTCTCTGTTTTCTCATCTGTATGACAGGAATTATACCAACCCTATTTCTTATAAAATAGTGATCAGATTTTGTTAATGGTAGTTTTTTTAAAAAATTCTTCTCCAAAAATGTAAATTGGATACATACATGGAAGAACAGATATATAGGCATGTTTATAAATATATGCTTATAGATATGACATACACATTTTTAAAGATAAAATGTATCTAAACTTTTTCCTGAAAAAACAAAAAGTGAGACGAGCACTGCATGTCTTAATGGAGAATAAAGCGACAGAGAGTGTGAAAAAAGAAAGCTTTGGAAGATAAAAATAAGCCACTTTTTCTTTTGGTTGGAGCATTTTAGCTAGCGATAGAGGGACATACACAATTTCATTCAAGTGGAATTAAATTATATATGCTCAATCAAAAATGATTAAATTGTCTTTTTAATGAAGAGAAGGTATCAGTAAAAATAATTTTTTCTTTATTTTAGCCATATTAATTAATGTTAGTTAATAAATGACCTCATTCAATTTAAGAAACCAAATTGAAAATATTAAGAAATTGAGTAAGATTTTTACTATGTTTTAAGTTTACTAATTAATTCTGCTTAAAGGAAATCAGAACTCTGAGTCTTTTCTACGTTAGTCTCACATTATTTATTGATTGCCTGCATTTCATCTTCAAATCTCATTCCCTTTCTCCTTTCTTCCTCCCTCCTTCAGTTTTTCTTTTTTCTTTCACTCATTGCTATATCCTCTATGTACTGTGTCACAGCATTTAAATATTTTAGAAAGTCTGTTTATTTTCTATACCATTGAACTCTTTCAGGGCACATGTTGTATCCCTGGATCCTTTAAGAATGTTTTTCTATATCCTTGAAGTAGCTTATTCGGTTTGAAGTAGTTTATCAACTAAGCCATGTTTCCAGGAGTCTAGGCGAGGTACAATTGATTGTGATGACTCGTAATTAATACCATTGTGCTCTGAGACCCCCTCAGAAGCATGTCCCTTTTCCGTCCTTTAGGTCCTTTAGCAGTGACCTAAAAGAACAAGCTGAAACAATCTTTGAACGGAGAGAAACATCAATATTTTCACTAGTATCATATTGTGAAACGTGATTCTCACCTTCCAAGAATGAAGGAGGCAATGTGATGACTTGAGAATTTTAATTAGCAAGTTTTAAATCCCACCTTTCTTCCCGGGTGTGAAGGTGGGAAACACCAACAAATTTACATGCTTGCTGGGGTTTTAAGGTTCATAAAAATAGAATATAACCTATAAAAGTGAATTTGCCTCAGAAAAATGTACCTTGCTTTTTCATTTCATCATGCTCTTTAGTGTGATCAGTTCTGTCTGTAACTCCTATTGACTCCAAATAATGGGAATTTATTTTCCTGACTCTCTCCTTATCATGTTAGAATTTTCCTTTTCCCCTCCATCGCAAGTATGGTTTGAGAGATGGAGCGGAATCCTAGTCACTTTTCCGTAGCTTTGAAGAAAAGAAATAAAACATTTGTAGTTATATTTGCCACCCTGCTTGACTAGGTTATGCTGTTCTTTTTTGAGATTCGATTATTATTGTCTTGTGCCTGTGTTCATGCCGCCAAACTGACATATGTCTCATTCCAATGAAAAGATTCTCTCAACTTTGAATTTTTCTTCTAGTTGATCTTGGAGTTGCAGCAATTAAAAAGACCTGGCAGTTTGGTTGTTTTTCTGATTCCACTGAAACCCTCAGATCTTTGTAGTGATGACCCATGGCTGCTACTCGTAAGGGTTTAATATGACTTTGCTTGAGGAACCTATGCTCATTGTTCATATGCTTTGCTGTGCTGAAGACTCGGTGATAACTCTCGGGGATTTTTCAACTCATTCTTGCCTTCACTGCAGCATTTTGTGATATTTGGTATAGTCAGGAATGCCACTAAGCTGTGCCTTCTCAGAATCTGCCTTTTCATTCTTAGACACAAATTTTGAGATTTTCTGGCAGGAGGCTATAGACTGTTCTTTGGTTGCTACTGTTTAACACTTTGCTAAATTTTGCCTTCTTTCCTGACTTCTCTAGATATTAAAGAAAGAGGATTCTAAAATCTGTCCCATTTTCTTTTTTTTGTAATTGATAAAAAGTTACATTCTCGATTATCAGGTTTTGCATTAATACTTATCGTGAGATCTATTTATTAATTGTGGTGTCTCAATAGTCTTTGTCTTTACTTATTTTAGTCTAGTTGGCCTGTCTTGTAGTGCAAATATTGTATGGAAGTCTTTCATTATTATTTTCTTTACTTTACATCACCTATATATCTTATTTTGTAGTTTCAACCTTACTTAAGTGACCCATAGATATTCATAATAGTTGGCTCTTTATTATGATTTATGTGTTTTCAGTTTTATAAGGTGTTCTGTTTTCTTATTTGCTGCCTTTGACCTGAATTCTATTTTATCTAACAATAAAATCTCAACCCCTGCTATTTATTATTTCTGTAGCCTGCATGCTTATAGTTTGTTTGACCATTGAAAACAGTATAGATTTAAGCTTTGCCTTATGAGTTCATCTTAAAATCTTTATTTCAGCTAAAATTTCATGTTTATTGGTATTGTAGATAGTTGATCAGAGCTCTGCATTTTGTTTTATAATGATTACATATATTGTTATATTTACTATATTTCTCCATTTTGTGTCTTTTTTGTAAATTTCTACTGTCATTAAGAAAGATTTGTGTCTGTGTTCTAACGATTTTCTTTTAATTTATACCTTACTGTCTAGTTTGTCAATTTTATGTGGTAGACGTTGTCATCTACCTATTACCTATGACAAAATTCAGTAATTTCACTGTCCCTTTCCTTTTCTCTCTCTTCTCTATCCATTTTTTTAGTTCCATCCTATATATTCTGTCAGAAGACCTAATGAATGCTCTTTTGTTTCTAGCTTATTATACTTAGCATACTTCTTAAAGACTAGGAGTATTGATCTATATATCTACCAGATGCAATAAGGTGTTTCACACTTACTAAATAAGCAAGAATGAATTATCGAACTAAACATTTAATAAATGGCATTATATATTGCTGAACTTTTTAATTAATTCTTTCAGTTAAAACTCAGGTAATGGGAGAAATCAAGATTGCATTAAAGAAGGAGATGAAGACAGATGGTGAACAACTCATAGTTGAAATTCTCCAATGCAGAAATATCACCTACAAATTTAAATCTCCTGATCACCTACCAGGTATCTAATTTTAAAACAATGAGCAATTATATATATATATTAATATGCATATAATATACAGGTAACAAAATATATATATAACCTAGTACTAGGTCCAAAATTTTCTGGAAAATGCTAACCAAAATTGAGGCTATATACCAAACATATCTGGAAAATATGAAAATAAATTATTTTTTCTTATATAGAACAAGTTGATATTTTGTTAGTTTTCAACTAGATTTTTTTCAATACATAATGGGATTATTTATTATACAACAGGCAAGTTGAGTTACTGTAAAAAATGGTATGTATTTTAATTACTAATGTTGTCTATACTATATTGTACACAGTCCATTGGCTTTGTTTAAAATGTGGAAGAACTGTCATAATACAGTTATAATTGTATGGTTAATGGATTCTTAACAAACGGAATTCTTATTTTCAGATTTATATGTAAAAATATATGTGATGAACATCTCTAGCCAAAAAAAAGTGATCAAGAAAAAAACAAGAGTATGTAGACATGATCGAGAACCTTCTTTCAATGAAACTTTTAGATTCAGCCTAAGTCCTGCTGGACATTCTCTTCAGGTAACTTTCTATTAAATAGTTACTATCTTAAAGTTGTAATTCATGCAGTATGTGTTTCCCAATCAATATTTATATACTTATCATACATATGAGATATTTTACAAGTTAAATAAATCTCAGAGGTATCTTCCCAGGAGCCCTTTAGGATTTTATAACCCACTCAAACAATCCAATTAACTAGCAAGTCTCCTTTATACTCAGTTTATTTTATATAGATTTATTTCATGCTGATGCCTTTAATTCTCCTGGGTTCTTATCTTTGTTACTCAAATCATTTCAGCAGTTTATCTGGCCTACTTTCCCTTATAATTCATTTCATCACACTGCTGACAGAGGTATCTTTTAGAAACACTGGCTAAGTTACATTAAAGCCCTTCAATGACTCTCCATTATCCTGACTCACTGGAGTCCTCCAAGGTGAATTTTAATTGTATTGATTTAATCTCATCTCCTTGTTCTATGCTTGCTCTATACTCCAATCATACCAGAATCTGCAAGTCAGGTTAAATCTCTAATCCTTTGCTCATATTTTTCTTCCCCTTTGATACTCTTTTCCATCCCTCTCCATCCATCACAATAGTCCACACCTCTCAATGTAAACTCAGGTCTTTACTTCTGACCCTAAGTGTAATTCATCAGGCCTTATTCAAGTAACTTTTTATGTCTTATTGGGTTATCACTCCTAATCTTTCCATTGCTCTTTGTTCGATAGCAACACAAGGCCTGCATGTGATATGTGATTTGTAGATACAGATACAAGGAATAAAAGAATTAAAAGTGGGAGGGAACAAAGAGATATGGGGGAAAATATGAGGATTAAAAAACATGGTGCTGTCACTGAACACAAAGTCTACAGTAGAGACAAATATGAGATACTGCAAAGCAAAAGCTTTTTTGAGAGAATTGAGAATAGAGTGGAAGGGAATAAAAATATTACAGGAGACTGAGTTCTGTAAGAACAATTGTGTCATTCACAGAGATTAAGTAGTTCGAGAGGGGACTAGTAGGGAAAAAAGTCATGCATTTGTCTGAAATGAGATGAATACAATAAGAAGGCAGGGATATGCAGAAAAATACAAAATGCACTTGAAATCCACAAAACAGACTAGAAGACAAATTAACTGGAAATATTTCGAAGTCAGAGAAAGAGAAAAGGTAAGTTTAAGCCAAAAGTAAACATGAACTGTCTGAAAGAGATTCTGAAGAGGTAGGAAGCAAAAGAGAGAGAAAGAAGGAGAGAGGAGGTCAAAGATTAGTGGTTAGCTCCACTTAATGTGAACTGTACTTTCTTTCAAGTCATTTCTAAAAGAAAAAAAAAATTGAATCAGGTACTATGGAATTTCAACTAATAAAAGTTCTATAAAATGACAGGGAATCACTTTAGAAGTACAAACTATGGTAAAATTGCCATTAAATTAAATGCTAAATAAAATCAATGTTATGTTTTATTTGCTTTGTGAATTCTAATCTACTTACTCCATACTCAAATAATTTTGCATTTGAGTTAATATTTCATAAAATGGTAAAGTGTACCCAGCAAAGTCTTTTATGAACATTTCTATCAGTTTAAGTATATACCTATTTAGAATCAGCGAGTAATACAGTTTTTATCTGGAATGCTCATATCCTTCAGAATTTCTTTCCTTTGTAAAATATTGATGTGAATTAATATTATGCAAATTTTTGGAAGACATCTTGGTTATTATTTCTTAAGTATGCCTGCTACTTTCACCCTCACCCTTTTTGTCAGTTATTTCATCAATAATCAAATGTTCGTAAAAAAGGTTGAAATTATACACAACTATATATAATTTTGCTATTTTTTCTAGATTTTACTTTTCTCCAATGGAGGAAAGTTTATGAAAAAGACCTTGATTGGTGAGGCTTGTATCTGGCTTGACAAAGTGGATCTGAGAAAAAGAATAGTCAACTGGCACAAACTTTTGGTCAGTCCTACTCAAACGCACTGAAGGAAAGTATCTGCTGAGGATGTAAAAGCTGCTCTAGATAGTCTGATATCAAGACTATAGGTGGATCCTATTAATACTAAGCTATATTTTAAAGATAAGCATGAGAGGAGGAGCAAGCAGGAAAAACATACTTAAAACCTTTAAATGTATTGTCATGAAACAGAAAAATTGTTAAATGCTGAAGTTCATATTGAAGACAAAGAGAAAAGGAGTTCTGAGAACTAGGATTTCTTGTGGTTGTTGAGGAAAAAAAAGGAGAAAAAAACTTGCAATTTCTTATAATGTAAAATTTTTGAGCAGAGTTGAACTGTAGCTAAAGGCAGAAGCTCAAAGATTAATTGGGTGTCCAATGCAAAGGTAGTACTCTATGCAAAATAACCTTGGTTGAAAGTACTAATGTAACAGATCTCAATGTTCAAATGTCCAAAAATCTTTCATCTTCATCTTATCTGCTCAAACAATTTACTGTGTTGAGATTCTGACATAGGGTAGACCTACAATATGTGTACAGGACTGAAAGTAAGATGACTGTGTTTATAGAAAAAAAGGGAAGAGGAGAGGTACAAATTATGATTTTTAGACCATAATATTCAGGTGTTCAAGTGTTGCAAGATAAACAATACCAATTTTGGAATCCACATTGTAAAAGCACATTTGTATAATTTGAAATAGTATAGAGTGAGATAATACTAAGTAGAAAAGAGAATTTCTTTTATCTAGAAATAAAGCCATTATTGGTTAACAAAGAAGACTGTTGCCCCATAAACTATCAAAAACTCCATAACTTACCTTTAAGTCAAGACATTTTCATACCAAAGTATTTAAATTGGTATGTTCTAGTAAGCATGATAACTTGTTCTTCATGAAATTTCAAATAAATGTATTATCCCAAGTAAATGTATTTCCTTTCTCTTGAATAATGTATGGAGAGAAGGAAAACTCTTCCTCTGGCAAACTAATCATCTTAATCTTGTGACACTGATTAATTAAATTGATATAATTTCCTGATCTTCCATAATGTTTTTCCCCTTAATACATTAACTGTATAATGAAAACTTCAATGCCAAACTCAAATTCTCTCTGGTGTTACATTTTCCCCTCTTTAGTGACAATATCACAGTGATTAAGTTCATCAATGTTGGGAAAATATGTGAAAAGTAAACATTATGTTGAAGTTAAAATATACTTTAAACTATTTTAATAATATAAAATAATAGGACCAATGTCTACATCTTTCAATAAAGTATCTTCTCCATCAACCAACATTAACAAGCAAAGTGACATGGAGTTGTAAGAAACACACCCAGCTGGGATTTAAAAATCTGGTTTCTGGTCTTGATTTTGTCTCTGACCATCACTTTGCATGTGTCACCTATGCTCAATTTCCCCCAGTTTTCTTTTCTCGTAGGATAAAAATGGTTACATATACCTAGCCTTCTAATGAGATGCTGGGATGATCAAGCTGTTACTATGAAAGACAATGAAAGCACATTTTCAAATATAGTCTCGTGTACCTAAGCAAGGAATAATTATTATGCAGCTTTTTATTTCTCAAATTTTATATGTGAAAAAGCATCCTCTACAGCAATAGCAAGAACTGACAAGAATAAAGCAGTATATTAGTTCCCAAACTAATTTTTTCCTTAAAATAAACTTTCATTTAGCCTGGGAAAAAAGTGAAGAACTGATGAAAATTATATTTAAATTGGGTTATCAAAAGTTAAATGAATTATGCTAACATATCCTATTTCCATATCCTACCCTAAAAGAAATTAAATTGCTTTTAGAGTATTTGAAATCTGTTTCTTTATACAATGTTGAAATTTTAGTGGAATTAGAGAAATCATCTCCAAATACATTGGTTGAATATTGAATTTTCTCATTTTTAAGAAAAACACAAAGGGAAATTAATGAAATGTAAAACATTCATAAATCCCTTTATTATTGTGATAAAGAAATACAAAGTCATTTTTCCACTCTAAGAAAGATAACCAATACTTACTTCTGTTTTTTATCTCCCGTCCCCTGACAATGCAACACCTGTTATAACCGATATTGATCTATATGAGCATGAGAACAGGGGATTGCTAACCATTTGATATCACTAGGATTTTATTTTTAAAGACAACTAGATCTATTGATGGTTGCCACGGATATTTCCGCAGAAGTTAGCACTTTAGGGAGCTTGGAATCATCACTCATAACTGGGTAAGAGAAGGGTCCAGGAAAATTCCATTAGGACATGAAAAGACACTTGCTCTTTGCCCTTAAAAGGAAACTGGCTCCCCTTAAGTCTCTTCTGCAGCACTTATATCCAGAGGGAGGCATGGGATATTCTATGACTAGTTTGCTTATTTCATGCCAGTTGCAATTCTTTTAGAATAATAAAAATGGAGGTGCAACCAAAACAAAGATCATCCCTTGGAAGCCATTTGACCTGAAAGAGTAGGAGCCTTTCCACTTAAGTGGTCCTCTGTTCTAAGAAACTAGTAATGGGGCCAGGTCAATTAAAAGAGTTAATGAGAGGGCTTCTTTCTGTGCACCAGCATTTCCCTTCAGAAAGCAAAAGATCCTACCGAAGTGTGCCAAGATTGCAACTGACCAATCTCCTAGGTGGTACTGAAATTATTCTATGCAACACCGATCCTTACATGAACGAATTTCTTCTGAATGACGTTGATTACCCTTCTTACAACAAAACTATTTCTTTTTTAATTGCAAATAGGGCTCTTGGTGTTTTTTACTTTTTTGTATATATCACAGCACATTTTTTCACTTTTTATTTTCTTTATTTTGGGGGAATTAGCTTTTTTTATCCTAATAGCAACAAAGTTTGTAATCTCTAAACAACATGTGATTAGTTCAAATTATAAGAACTTATACCTTGAAAAGCATCTTAACTTTTCCCACAATTTCACTGAGTCGTCAGAGATTGAAGTTGCCTCTTGGTTTAAAATTGGTTTTAAAGGAACTTTTAGCTGTAGAAGCAAAAGCACAGAGTGAATTTTTACAAAAGACAGGGAGTGATAGAATGGTCATTACAGACATACATAGCATTAGTAGCAAGAAGTTGGTGTTTTCCCTGTTTTCACTTAAGATTATGGAGATTTTTGGTGACTCAAAACTCTTTATTTACCATTTCAATTTAAAAGAACAGTATCCAAGACTAAGGGGCAGTGATTATCTCTGTTCCTTAATGTTGCCCATATTGTAATTAATCACAATAATTAAATATATATTTTCAGCATATCAGTGGAATTGATTTCAGGATCACACACATTAAAATAGTCATATTGTGGGAATATTATAGCTGGTAACCAGCTGATATGATTCTTACTATAGGAATGGTTGTGATGATAGTGGTGATAGTGGTAGTGACACTAGGTTGGTGGTGATGTGAATTAAAATAAAATTACATACTGTATTGTGCCCAACTTATTAGATATTATTTGATTAATGTTTCATTTCATTAAGATATCATACAGATGTTTATAGTATTTTTTTACTTTATTATTTAAATCATAGCTAACAATTTTTTAAAAAAACTTATTTTCATTGCTATGATGTCTAATATTCCAAAAGCAACCAACTATAGCTATTTATGTGTTTATAACTATGTGTAACAGAAGTGATTTTCCCTTTTTTGAGCTTGAGATGGAAATGAAAGTAAGCTCAGTGAATAATTACAAGCTGTCTCTTTAATAATTACTTGCCTTTGATGTAACACTAGAATGAATGAGTGAAACAGATATTCTCATTGAATATGACACATTGATGTTTTCTGTATGTTCTGTGTTATTATTAAAAACACCCATTAAATCTAAATCATTTAATCAAATGATTCCTTATATGATAGGCAGATTGAGGGCATTTTCTTAATTTGTTACCCTGTATATAAGTATACATTTGGTAAAATAGACAAAGATAAAATATTAATTTGATTTGGCATTCAGCATGTGAATATGATTATTGTTTGATTATGTCTGTATATTTGTTCAGTGATGTGCTCAGGTGCTCCCACTACTGATAAATGTGTGTGCCCATATCCAAACAAAAACACATCTGAGGTTAAAGGACAAATTTCTTGTCTGAAAAAATAAAAACCCAATAAAATTCATTTTAAAATAAAAAAAAAATGAAGCACTTGGAGATATGTCTTGTACCTAACTATACGTCGCATGCTGTGTTGGTGATTTGCTAACGTGTTCTTATTTTTTGTTCTACCCAAATTTCTCTGGATAACCTAATGAACAAATACAAATTCTTGGGCTAAAGATTGTATAAATTGAACTGAAGTATATGAGGATCGCATTTCAAAATGCTTGTAAATCTGTCTTCAGTTTTACTCTATGTAAAAATATGTCTTGGTTTTGTGATTGTATACAAAATGTATCTTGACAACTTATGCAAATCGTGCTGTATAAAGGCTGTTGCCTCAGCCTTCCTAATAAATGTTGAAAATATCAACTTTGACTTCTTGTGTTTATCAACTTGATAAATTGATACTGAAAATAGAAATAGAACTTTTTGAAACATTCTCTCTGAAAATTGTCTCATAAAGTCGTAAATACATTCACTCAGCCAGTTTAAAAAAATACACTTTAAACACAGCAGAGATGTATAAAACAAATGTATAGCTTAATATATAATTATTTCATACAATCTTGTTACCACCACCCGCATCAAGAAATTGACCTTTACAGCCATCTATAAGGCCTCTGCTTAACCCTTCCTTATTACAACACCCTCCTGATCTCCTATATGTAACTACTATCTCCATTTTTATGATAATTATTTCCTGCTTTATTGCTGACATCTGCCTAGTAAATCCTGGTGTAGTTTTCCTGTTTCATTTTTAACATGTTTCTAAGCCTCATTTAATCTACATAGTGTCCTCCCTAGACCTTCTTTCTCAGCAAATCTTATTTTTTGAAAAACCTGACTCTGTGCAATACAGATTTTGCTGATTGTGTGCTCTATAGATCCTCTGCCTCTGTATTGCTTATAACTCCCATTTTTGCTCTACAAACATGACCTGATTCATACTGAAACTCTGTCAGAAGTTTGTGTTGTATCCTCTCATTAAGAGGCATATTACATCTTTTTGTCTTATTTATGGCTGCTGGTGCACAATACTTGTAATAGATCCATTAATTAGATGATAAAAAATGGTGGTATTATAATTCAATCATCATTGCTTCTTGGAATATATTGTAAAAGGAGTAATTTCCCCCCTTAAATAATATTTGATTACCCAGTGGTGTCATTTGTTTAGGAACGTTGTGGGAAAGGCAAAGAAATGTAGATAATGTCCTTCTATCAACTTAATGTCTTTCAAAATAATAAAATGCTTCCCTATCATCTTCCAAAGGTAACTAATTAGTTTCTGTTTTTATTTTTTAGTGTCATTGTGAACTCATAATTGAAGCATAGTTGATATATTTTAGTTTATTTTGAAACAAATAATGTTTGTTATTCTTATTAATGTTCAAATTTACCTGTTTTGGTCATAGGGGGCATCTTTGAGCAGGCTTACAAGTTTCTATTCTTTGATAAATGTTCTATCACAAGAAACTTATGTCATTTATTTTAACTTAAAACAGTATAGTAAATCTATTTAACTTGAATTTTTTCTCTCTAGCTCTATAAAATAATTATATTTAGGAATGCATTGACACTAATTGATCTACTTTTATCTAATATGCTATTACTTCTTTGCCTTTAGCTAAGATCAGATGTAGTATCATTTATACTGTCCACTATGATAAACTTTTTTAAGATTTATTTTTGTAGAAGAGCTGGGGTACAGGCTAGAGGCAAGGGAGGGTGAGAGGATTCACCAGAGACAGAATGGGGAACAGTTGGACCAAGGACACTGCTGAGGGGAGCAGCGGGCGAAACAGGAGAGGTCTGCCATGCCATGTGGGAATCTCCCTGGCCAGCCAGGAATGGAACCCACACTGCAGAGTCTGCGGACAGCTTCATAGCCGTTATGATAAACTTTTAAGAGCTTTCTTGGGTGAACTATATTTGGAACATTTTTTAAAAACAATGTCAGATCTGAAAGATAGTAATTAGAGGAATGACCAAGTTTGACTTTTTTCATTATTCATTTTCTAGGAATTTAAGAACTCAAAATGCCTCTCTCATCTATAGTTAAAAGATTTTTTAGGAAAGGGAATGAAAGCAGTTGTCTATTAAAAGTTCTTTTTTAAAATAACAAAACCATGATTGCAAAAATGTTAAAATCTTTTCTTTCTGTTGACCAGGTAGCTCCAAATACATTAAACATAATTATTTTTAAAATTTCATCATGTTTTCATACTGTATTTTTGTTTATTATTTATAAAAATTAAGAAATATTTCCGGGAATTATTTAGTAAAAACTGACCTTCCAATAAGTTATTATTTGAAATTATTAATAAAATGAACAAACCCATGTTAATCAAAAGAGAAAACTATTAGCATTATCAGGTGTGAGAAATTAACATAAATGCTAAGATCCAAAGCCAAAATTTAACAAACCTAAGCTAATGATGTATAATAGTGATAAGAATCATGACCATGTTGTATTATCCCAGTTACACAGGATGAATTCAATGTTGGAAAACGAATTCATGAAATCCACTACATGAAAAATCATAAGCTGCTGGGAAATATTTACCAAAATTCAAGATCCATTCATAATTAAAAAAATATACTGATCAGGTTTCCATTTAGA